GCGAATCACTCAAAGTCAATATACTTACTTCTAAATCTATAAAAGTGAATGAAAAGTCATGAGCTTATTTCGTCGGCTCCTTGGCCAACCTAGCAGACCTCTATCCAGACGAGGGCTATCTCCTTTCAAGAGGTACAGTGTCTTCGAAATGTCTAGGACTTTTCTTTGGGGAAAAAACCCTCCACAGCCCATAGCATGTTCTTTGGAATCTTCTCAGGGAGGCCTTTGTTCCCCGAAGGCAGACCCGATTTTTGGAAACAGCTAAGAGCCACTTGGCAGTAAATCCAGCGAATGAGGTGGGTGATGAAGCCGAAGAACATTAGTTTTTGGTTCCAAACAAGGTGTGACTATAAAAAACAGAGCCTAATTTTCTTACACGCTACATAAACTGGCTCGAGAGCAACTTCAAAAGAAGACTTCCAAAAACGCTGTGGCCTTGGCAAGAAAAAAATCGCTCTAGTACACGCACGCACACACACACACACACACACACACTCTCTCTCCCCACTGCCCCACGTACGGCGTATGGTGCCTGCCCCAGCATCCAGACAAGTAAAACCAAAAGCCCTTGGAATTTAGTTGTAAGAAGGACACCTGGGGGTTTCAGTTGGCCCGAGGCTCATTGTTCACGCGGTGCGTGCCGTGGCTTCTAGACAAGTGTCTGTTTTCCAGGACTGCTCTGGTAGAGGTCCCAGGCTTCCGTGGCACATAACTACCCACGCTCCATTCCGCCCGGGCTCGAGCAGCACCGCGGGCTCAGCCGAGAGCAGGACAGCACAAGAGGACCACTGACCCCCTGGAGCACGGAGCAGGGCTGAAGGGGACGAAGGAGCTGTTTCGAACAACAACAAGACAAATCCAGAAGAGGCAAGAGTCAGTGATTGAAAATTCCTGGCATGGAAAATCCAGGAAGGCAGATTTAGGCTTAAGCTAATAAAGACTGATTCCTCTTATGGAATTGTATGTTTAGGATAAGTCTCGTGTGTGTGAATATACATACACAGAGAAAGAAAGACTGGAAGGATATAAATAAAAATATTTAATAGTAAATATCCATGGGGGAGGGAATTAGGGGGTAAATGCCCTTTTTAAAACTTTATATAATGCTGTATTGTTAGAATTTTTATTACTGGGGCACCTGGGTGGCTCAGTCGGTTAAGCGTCCCACTTCGGCTCAGGTCACGATCTCACAGTCTGTGAGTTCGAGCCCTGCGTCAGGCTCTGTGCTGACAGTGTAGAGCCTGCTTGAGGTTCTCTCTCTCTCAAAATAAACTTTAAAAAACAGGCTCTTTGGGGGGCGCCTGGGTGGCTCAGTCGGTTGAGCGTCCAACTTCGGCTCAGGTCATGATCTCACGGTTTGTCGGTTCCAGCCCCACGTCAGGCTCTGTGCTGACGGCTCGGAGCCTGGAGCCTGCTTGGGATCCTGTGTCTCCCTCGCTCTCTGC